TCATCCAAATCACTGATGAATATGTTGAAGAGTACTGGGCCTAAAACAGAGCCCTGGGGTACCCCACTGCATACCTCCCTCCATGTAGATGCAGTTCCATTGAGGACTACACATTGAATGTGGTTGATCAGCCAATTTCGAATCCATCTGGTGGTGATGCTGTCTAACCCACATTTTTCTATTTTATCAAGTAGTAGGTTATGGTCTACTTTGTCAAATGCCTTACTGAAGTCCAAGTAAATTATATCAACAGCATTCCTCTGGTCCACTAGTTTTATCACTTTGTCAAAGTATGCAGTAAGATTAGTCTGGCATGATCTGTTTTTGACAAACCCATGTTGGCATTTGGGTATTACTTTGCTTCTAGGTGTTCGCTGATTCTGCTTCTAGGTGTTCACTGATTCATTGCTTGATTATCTTTTCCAGATTCTTCCCTGGTATTGAGGTCAGGCTGATGGTCCTGTAGTTTCCTGGATCTATTTTTTTCTCTTTTTTTAAATATGGGAACTACATCAGCTGTTTTCCAGTCCTCTGGCAGTTCCCCGGTGCTCCAGGATATTTGAAAGATATAGTTCAGTGGTTCTGAGATCACATCTGCTAGTTCCTTCAGAACCCTGGGGTGTAATTCATCTGGTCCTGGTGATTTGAACTCATCTAGGATAGACAAGTGCTCACTTACCATTTTCTTCCCTATTTTAACTTGTGTTCCTAATCTGTTTTTTTCTGTTGCTGTTTTTGATAAGGTTGGACTGTTTTTTCCCTTTGTGTAAAGACAGATGCAAAAAACGAGTTAAGTAGTTTTGCTTTTTCCCTGTTACTTGTCACTTCTTGCCACCTTCTCCCAGCAATGGACCAATTGTTTCCTTGACTTTTTTCTTATTCATATTGGAAGAAGCTTTTTTTTTGTTATTTTTTACTTTTGTCGCAAGCCTTGTTCGTTGTGACCCTTAGCTTTCATCACTTTATCTTTGTAGGGTCCGGCTATTTGCTGATATTCTCCTTAGTTATATGCCCCTCTTTCCATTTTTTATAATTGTCCTTTTTGTCATTCAATTTGTCAGAGAGTTCTTTATGCAGCCATGCTGGTTTCTTTTGAGAGCTGTTATTTTTCTTCATTGGTATTGTGCTAGACTGGGCTTTTGTAATCTCATTTTTCAAAATTTCCCAAGCTTCCTGAGTTGTTTTCCCCTTAAGGATTCTCATCCATGGAATCCTTTCCAAGCTCTCTCTACTTTTATTGAAATTAGCTCTCTTAAAGTCCAAGAGTCTAGTTTGATTTTACTCTGTTGCTTGTGCATGCATAATGTTGAATTCAAATATTGCATGATCACTGTCCCCCACAAGGTTCCTGTAGCTTCAACACCTTCTATCATTTATCTCTGTTAGTGAGAATTAAGTCCAATTTGGCTGATCCCCTTGTTCCCTTCTCTATTTTTTGGGAAACAAAGTTGTCTGCTAGGTTTGTCAGGAACCAGGACTACAGGTAGTGAAGCTAGTTTATTTGAGACACAGTAAAGTGAATGGAAATTACTAATAAGGTACAGTGATTAGTTTTAATGAATGCCTAGACCATAGATTATAAAGTGTTTTATTATAGACCTAGTTTGTATTTTTAATCCCCATTTTCTTTTAATATTTGACTATTTACATTTTTTTATTTTTAAGTAATTTTAATTTTAATCTTTGTGTTTTATATTTTTTGTATTTTAATTTTTTTTTATTGCATCTTTCTTATTCTGATCATTGACCATATTAAATTGATGGATTGACTGTTTGATGCAGTGATCATAAAGTCAGCCTAGGCCTGGAGAACATTGGGTTCAAATATCCATGATTCAAGAAACTTTGCAGAATCATCTTGAGTCAGCTATTAATCATTCATTCTTACCTCATTAGCTATGAAATTAAAGGGAAATATAGGAAAAAAATTTTGTATAGCAGCTCAAGTTCCTTAGAACATTAGGGATTTCTGTTGAATAGTTAGAATTTATTTGCTATACTGTATATTGTGGAAATCCTGTCCTGTTTTTGAAATGCATAAAACTATTGCAATGCAATAATTACATTTAATGTAATTACAATGTAATTAAACTAAAACCATTTAATTATATATAAGTATTTAATTTTATATAGGTATGTATGTGCAGAAACACACACACAAATCAGAGAAATAAAGATTTTAACATATTAACAAATCAGAGCCTCAAGAACTTAATAAAAGGCAGTTTATAAATTTGAAAGAACTTTTTTAAAATAGGGGAATTATACTGAAATATCTGTAGCCTGCTTTCATCTCTGGTTTTGTACGGTTTACAGAATTGGCATATTGCCCCCAACAATCTAGATCCTCACTTACTGATCTTGGAAGGATGGAAGACTCAGTCAACCTTGAACTCCAGGCTGTTGGCAGAATTAGCCTGCAATACTGCATTTCTACCACTGTGCCACCATATAAAAGGATTTTGGTAAAATGACTCAAAGATTTGAGTAAATGTCTTTAATATATAACTATGTCACCCAGATACAAGGTAATTTATATTGTCTTTCTATTCTGACCTTCTAGATATTTGGGATATTTCCCACAATCCCTACAAGCAAGGGTATCTGCCATGTTGATTATTATGTAAATTGGAGTACAATATATGCGTAAAATCCCACGTTGGGACATTACTTTGATGAATGAAAGATGATCACAATAGCATATTTTAAAAATGTATAACAGACCAAGAATCATTTGAAAGAAAGCTTCTTATTGGTTCTGGAGGTGATGGCTGAAAATATAAAAGCAAACCTCACCAATACATCCCATCATTTCTGAAGCTTTTATCCATATAAGATTCAAACTCAACGAAGCCCATTTCAGATTCTACAGGGACATTTGTCAAATAGGTTAAGTTTAAAAAAAAGAAAGAAAGAAATTGAACTGACCCACATTTAGAGTGAAAGAAAAATTGTCCTGAGGTTAAGTTAAATGAAATAGAAGCGAGTAGGTTGGCTGCCGAAACAGGTGCATGGCAGATTTCTCAAAGAAAATGTAATTTAGGTCACCATTTACCATAATAAAATGAAAATCTATAACATACTGAGAATGGGTACTTTTCTTGGAGCTTTCACCCAAATGCAAAGTAGACAGAATCCCTCCAGCTTGCTTCTCCTACAAAGTCATAAAGCTTGCTAGGTCAGCTTTTTCCAATCATTCCTGAATAGCTAAAAAAATAATAGGTCAGTTTCAATACACAGAGCTAGCTGAAGCTGTAAAAATGCTGCCTTGCCACTTACGGTGCATTGAGCACTTACCTTATAAGATCTAGTCTTTATGTTTGCTGGAAATGTTTGTTTTTTTTTACTCTATTCTTTAAATAAAATGGCTTCTAACTAGTTACTGGATCAGCAGGAATAGACTGAAGCCTCAGTCGTATACAGGAAAGAAATTTGTTTATTTATTTATTTGCTCAAACTTCTAGGCTTCTTAGCTCCAAAACGATCAGACACCTTTGGAAGATTTAAAACGCAGTAAAAATATCTATAAAAAGAACACACATTATATAAGGGTGCATAAATTGTCCAAGGGAACAAATAACAACACTTTCACATCACCCAAATGAAATACAAGGAAAAAATGTGTGTTTGTGTGTGGGGGGGGGGGGGGGGCAAATAACAATCAGACTCATTGTAAACTTATAGAGTAAAAGAATAGTAAACAAGGACTATTATTTACTTAATCATTATACACTGCTTTTCTGGTCTAGAAAAAGCATCTAAAGCAAGCTTTAAAACTGTTATTTTTGTCTATTTCATATTACCCTGCTGTATTTTAAAGCTTGAAGCAGTAGTTCAGCTGAAGTTTCCTTTCTCTTTGTAGCTTTACAGTACAAATTTGCTACTGTCAATTTTAGAACATAGTAAGTCTAGAGATTTACTTATTTACAGGATTTCCATACTGCTCCAAACACACAATTTTGAACAAGCGTATAAATTCCCCACAACACGTCTGTCTTCCCACCATTTAAATATATGAAGTACTTAATATATATGTGTGTGACATATGCTCATGTAAATGTATTTTTGTATTTAGTATCTATCCTTTTTCTCCACAGTTTAAAGAGGTCTCCTAACTAAAAGGATAAGAAGAGTTACAAACATCTGCTAGGCTACAGAAAATGCTCTGTACTGTCCAGCCATAACACTGGGTTGCTTTGCTTCAAAAACAGTTGCATAGAAAGCTTCTCTTCGACTCATAGCTCTAATCCTCAGACTGTGACAGATTTCAAGCTGCTTATGAAAATAGGGGGGGAAAAGGCAGGGAAAGAAAATCCACACTGATTCTTTGTTCTCTGGAAAAGCAGAGTGAAGGAAGGGGGAAAAAAAACTTCTGAATGAGAAACTAGGTAAGTAGGATACCCAAATATTATACCCCTTGTAAGAGCAGCTTGCAAATGCTGTGTGTGCATTTAAAAGGAAGGCTCACAAATTGATTGGGTTAATTTCAGTAGATGCAAAAATGGGATATGAGTTTGCATCATTCTGGATCATTCACTAAAGTAATTCTTTTGGGTAAGCCTGTTTTTCCCCCCTTAAGTAAATCATTCTCCCCAGAGAACCTTCCAGGTGTAGATTCTTTTTTCTTCTTTTCTCAAATCCAGTATAACCCTTTAAGCAATTCTGCTCCTCTCCAACCTGCAAAGGTCCTACAAGGTACTCTGCCCCCTTCTCCTCACTCTGATAAAATCACAAGTTACACTTCAAGTTATGAACAAATGACTTCGCTTTTTCCAGCCAGAACAATAATTCAGAATAAATTTCTGAATACTATAACACATGAGCATAATGTTACCCCAAAGTAGCTATTGAACCCAGTGGAAATGAATCTTCAGTACTGAGAAGCTTGTCCAGAAAATGCATTTTCTTTCTCTCCCAACAACCAGAAAAGATCTTTAATTAGAAGAGATGTAACTTAGACATATTTTCTATATGCCTCTCTTTTCTCACAAACTTAGATGCCTTACAAAAAATCTAGTGAAAGTTTTATTTTCTCCTGTCCTTGGCTCAGCTGGATTCCTTTTGCACCTTCTCCTTATTGAAAATCCAGGTAGGTAACTTTTTGTCTCTGTGGCTCTACCGTTTCCACCCCAGTCCCACTGAAGATCCCTTTTTCTCATGGCCTCAATTCCCTTCTCCAGTTATCTCATTATTGGCTGCTTATTATTCTCTTGGCTTCAATTATCTCTATGAAGGGAGATTTCCCTTTATAAGGAGATATTTCCTTGAATCTAAGCAGAATGCACATAATGGGACAGAAAGAAAAGCTTTTTGCATTCTTCCTTAACTACCTGCTTACCAAAGGAAAGCTAAAATAAGATCTTTAGCACAGTTCTGGTTTTGCTTAGCAGCCGCTTCATCTACAACTGATCCCAAATGTCACTAAACAAGGACTACCGGTATTTCCATGCCATTCATGGCTAGTGTCACCATATATTTGAACAGACAAAAAAGTACATAGACTATTGGAAAGGAAGTAATATGAGGAGTGGAGAAAGAAACATTAAACTGTTCAATTTTTAACAAAAATTACAGTGAAAAACGGGGGGGGGGAAATGTACTTAGGCCTACATTTGTATGAAATTACTTTCCCCATCATCTGGAAGACTGGTCTTTCATTGCAACCTTTAGTCCACAAAATCTTCAGAGTGTAACTGATTCAGGTCTTGTAAATTTCAAGGGGAGCTGGAAAGGCCTGATCAACTATTTAAGAACACAAAGTTGAACTTGTTAATTTGCTGTTAGCACTTTTTAGGAAAGCACTGACTGCAGTACTCAAGAAGAGACACTCCTAAAGCTGGACAACATTTGATTTTAAGGATATGCCTAACGGACAGAGGACATGAGGAGGACAAAAAGGAGGACATATTCTCCTGTTGCTACACGTTTGATAATCTGATTCATGGCAGATTTCCACCAGTTTGCAGCAGCTTCACCAATTTTCCCAAGTTACTGTAACCACTAACTTACATTAATATAGAAGATGCCAATATGGTACCTATCTGTCTAGCCAGATGGCTTTCTCAAAAAATAATGAGAGCTATAGTTCCTATATTTTGTAGAAGTGTGTTGTAATGTTTCTCCTGTTTAGGCCCTCCTTATTTTATGCAGTGCTAATGTGCGAAAACAAATACCTAAGCTTCTGCCTATATGCAATACTTTTAAATAGAAAATTATTTTCTGTACCTGAATTAGAAGAGGAAGATGTGACAGCAGGTGTTTTTTTTTTTTAACTTCTGTAATAATTTATCTTCATCTGATCCTTTTGTCCCACCTCTGTCTGGTGGCCAGAATGCTTTGTGGAAACGGAGAGAGAAATGAAAGAAAAGAAGAACACCAAAATTTGCAAACTGGAACATTATGGTAGGTTAATACTACCTTAATTACTCATTTGCTTTTTGAGACAGATGGACCATTTTCATCATTCAGCCTGCATGCCAATCTCCTATGTATGTTATAAAACATTAGTATAAAAGGCAATGGAAGCTGCATTATTTCACTATTTCTTCCTTATAACTGTTTTTAATTCTTGATCATTCTTTCCTACTTAACATTCTTTCTGGGGGAGACAGTGGCATTTTTATAAGTTAAAATGTAATGGAACAGTTGTAATGCTTGATAAGCGAGAAGGAAGATGGAGTGGGAAAAATGATGGAATGGGGAATAACACTTTGGATAGGCCTAATTTTTGTTTTGACATATTCCCTTCCTTATTTTTGTCCAGCTCACATGTGATCCCACAGATTTTACAAGGCATACATGGCCCTCAGTTCAAAGAACCACATGTACCCATGTTCTACCTCATAGTGGGTTAGCACAGAGTTATCTAGCACTTGAATGGGAGACCCATCAAATAATCTTAACAATTTGTAGTTTACAATGGCTTAAAATAAAATTCTGAAAGATGATACTGACAATTCACTTTTTTACTGTTGCCAAGAAAATTGTTCATGAAATATCCAGAACTGGAGCTCAACTTTTCTTTATTTTACCCTTGTTCTAGAGTAAGAATGCATAACTTGAAGTTTGTAGACCACATATAATGCAAAGAATCATGGGTGCATCCCCAGAGCCACTCCCAAGAGTTACTGTGAAATTGTAATTTCATAGTATGTGAAATGTGAAAGAAGGAGAGAAGAATTAAACATACAGGATGCATCATATTACTTATATTACTTAATTGGCTTTAACTAATTAAATTTAAATTATATGAAATTTAAGTGTTCTAGCTTGAACACTTTTTTTTTACTTGATTCTCCTTGCCTTTGAAGGTAATTCCCTAGCGTAGCCAAAAAGGTTAAAATCTGGTTCTTGGTTCCTGAAAATTTACACACCACAGGTCTATGGCAGAAAACAGATATTTTCCAGCATTTTCAACTATCCCAGATAGTTCGAATTGGAGATTCTTAATTGAGCTTTTAGAAATAAAGCCTTTTTGCCTATAAAGTTTGGGCTTTAAAATTGAGCGATGGTCTCTTCATATCCACAGAGTTTAGAAATTCACAAAAACAAATTGCTAGAACTAAAAGATCTAGCAACTTTAAAGAAACTGATCTGAATGCAAACTATTTAGAACTAAATGTGCTTTTGTGTTAGGGATGAATATTGAACAAAGTAGCTCTTTTCATTCTATAGTTAAGTGGAACTTTTCTTCCTACTCCCAGTCACACGATTGAAATATCACAAGTTTTGGATTATAAGCTTTTTAAACACAGAGAAAAAAGTATTAATATTCTTAATGAAAAAATGTAATTCTATGCATTCACACGCACACCAATAACATATAGCACCAGTATCAGTGATTCTTATTAGAAGTGATAAAAGAATGGATTTATTGTTAAGTATCTGAAATCATTTTTAGTACTAAGATTTGGAAGAGATGAAGAATTTTTGCTCTCTGTAGTAAAGAATAAAAATTTTCTCAACTATTTCTGTACAAGAAAACCTTTATAAAGGTATAAAGGCTTCTTTATAAGGATCTGAAATGTAGAAGGATACCTTTTTCATAATAAAAAAGACAACTAGAGAAACACATTAAACAATCAACTTCTTTGGAAGAATGAAATTAACAAGGGAAGAAGAAAACCATACTACCCTTTCTGCATATCCTCATCAACAGAGGAAATGCTGGTAAATTGGAATCCTATGGGAAAGCAACGGTCAATAATCAAGAGTTCCGCTACCAAAGAAGCAAACCAACCTCCCACAAGAAAAGCTGTGTAAGAACATTATTCAGATGAGCATAAACACACTGCAGCAACCTGGAATGCCAGAAAGAGGAAACAGACCACCTATAAAGCATTTTCCAACAAAATGGGTACCCATGCAACTTTGTCAAAAAATGTCACACTGCAGCACAAGCAATACAGTTCGTGGAAAGGATAAAACTCCCTTTAAAAAAAGTATTTCAAATATCCAATGGACTGCTACAATTTGTCAGTATCACTGTGGAACCCAAGCCAACAAAAACCTCCCAAAACATCTTAAGCAAAACCAAAGGCCCAGTAACCCAAGAACTTAAAAAAACAGTCATGTACAACATTTAATGCAAAGACTGTAACAGCCACCCTCTAGGACAGGATAAGAAGAGCAGAGCACCATACACACACACACACACACACACACACACACACCTAAAATCAGGAGACATTATAAAAAATATCAACATACATGACAGAATCGACCACAGTTTCAGCTGGGAAACTATCAGACCAAACCAAATACAAAAATGCTATAGAATCCTGGAAGGTTGGCATTCAAACAAATTAGCCACTAATAGAAATAGAGATAAACCACGTTTACACATCACCCAAAGGAAACAAAAGAATTGCAACATATCTCATCCAGCATCCCACAGTGAGATAAGCAGGGTTCAGCACCAGACAAATGGGCAGAAAACTATCTAATCAAGGAACTACCAGAGAGGATACTGTACCTCAACCAAAATTGGCAGGTTAAGCTACTGCATATAAATTGGCAGTAAACTGATGATTTTACCTATCTGGGTAATGAAATATCTGCAAGCAAGTAACCAAGCTCAGAGCGGACCAAGAACTCCACATAAAAAGTGAGCCAGATCAGTAGTTAAAATGTACTTCAACATAGCCAGCAGGATGCAATGGCTTTCAGCAGATTTTAGACCAACAGGCTATCTTATGTTGATTATGATGGGCCTAGCTATGGCTCTAATTACTATTTACAGTCCCAAAACATCAACTTTAGGCCACTATCTCATACTATCGAAGGGTAGGGCTAGACCTACTTAGGATTGTTTAGTTTGTGAAACCGAAGTTTATTAAGCTGAAAATCTTTTCTCCTAAAAAGATCCTGTATTTTACCAGGAGGGGGGTGGAGGGGTGACGACTATTTTCACCCTGCCAAAATAATATTGTGGAGTCCTTGTTGTTCTCTGAGCTTGAATGCTTTCTTGCAGCATTTCATTACACAGTACATAACATTATCAATATTCTATTGAAAAGTAATATTAAGGACATAAAGCTTTTCCCAAGAAAACAAAGCTGATAATTCGAATCTAGATCAAAGGAAAAGGTAGTAAATTTGTAACACCAACATATTTGACTTTTAAACTATATGAAAGGCTTTCAAAGAAGAGAATGACTTTAAAGTCATTGAGGTGTAGAATCACAGTTAACCAACTGGAAGGCTAGGAGAGTTAACTGCAGGAGAATCAATGGGTGACAAATTAATAATCAGAGTGTTGAAGCTGCTAATTAAATAACCATGTGGTTCTTTTCACTTCATTGGTTTCCAACAGCAGAATATGTAGTATATAAAATATATCTTTAAGCTTTGAAGGTGTGGTATGCATTTGTGCGGCACTAGAGTAGAAAGGTCTATGGAGATTCTCAGTCATCCAGATCATGGTTGTCCTAAAGGTGCTTTTTTCAAAAGGCAACTGGACTTCCTTGGTTTTTTTCCTTGAAAATGTTTTGCTTCTCATCCAAAAAGCTTCTTCAGAATGCAAAACATTTTCAAAGAAAAAAACAATTGCCTTCTGAAAAGCATCTTTGGCATACAATTGAAAAGGTTGTCCAAATTTGCTTCAGAGGTTCTCTATAATGATTACAGATGCAGGAGTAAAACCAAACAGGACTAAACCTGGTGAAAGACTTCCAAGAAATCTTAGTTCTGTCAACTAGAGTAAAAAGCTAAAAAGTATCTGACAAGAAGGCAGGGGTGCAAATTTCTATACTGCATGGCTATGAGCATGTAATCACCAGATCAAATGATTTTTTTTTTCTCTTGTAAGATAATCCATCTTTTGCTTTTCTTGACCTCTATGATTTAGTTTCACTGGCTTTGCTTCCTGTTTGTTCCACCTCTGGGCCTATTTTGGAGCCTGTGAAGGTCTGTCTCTGCATGCTTTTCTTGAACCAGATGTTGTTTCATTCTCAATAAGAAAGACATGGTTTATGTTACTTCTGATGTTTGGTCAGTGTTGATTTGAAATAATGTATTAAGTTGTGGCAATCAAAATAACTTATTTTTGGAATTGTCAACTTTTTCTGGCCCTGGTGCCATGCCAGACGACTCCCTAAGTGCTTCTGCCAAACTCTTTCAAGTTCATAAAATGTCATTCGAGATCAGTACCATCTTGCATGAATTCTTATATGTATCAACAAAATGAATTGTTCACATTCTCATAATGCTTTTTTTAAGAATGCAACATTTTAAATAGGAAAGTTGTGGCAATGTTACAAAAATTCCCTGCTTTCTGCTTTCATTCCATATAGTTACTTCTGTGTAATTTTCATTTATTTTGATTAAGTTTCTAATCATGCAGAAATACAGCTTGAATATTCCCAAAGTTCTTCTATTGGGGAAGAGTAGAAAAAAACCTGAAATTATCCCATCTATTTATTTGACTTATTTTCCACTTTTTCTCTGGAAGCTCATTATGGCATACATTATATTTCTAATTAATTTTCTCTGCATAGCTGTTCTGTTGAAGTGAAGGTTCTTCTACATAGCAGGCTTGACCTGCTGATCCCATGATGGAAATGAAGCTGTTTTAATTAATTAATATCCAGGTACAGAGCAATCAGGCTAGCAAGACTGATATCAATCCACTAGGTAGACTAGATCAGAAAATCAATCCTACAAATAGGCTAAAAAAACTTTAACTGAGATTGGTTATAATAACAGAATATTGCAAGACTGATTGTGCTCTTCCTTCTCTTTCTTATAGTTCAGTGAATTAAGTCCTCCCAAAACTTACCTCATTGTCTAGACTTTCAGCCTCTTTTGCCTAGGTAATAGTTAAGGTCAAGGTTATTTTACTAAGTCCCTACATCTGTCAGCAGCTGAGATGCCTTTTGGACTGTCTGCCTAATTAGTAGATC